GGGGAATACATGCATTAAGCAAAGACTCCTGCCTTCCAGACACTCTGAAAATTAGACCTTAAACCAGAACAGCTCACGTCTTATGACTTGGGTTATACAGAATTTTCAAGATAGAGAATCTCTTTGATTGTTAAGAACAATTTTATGCTCTATTTTTAAAAGCAGAGGACCATAAAATTATTACATCTTCAAAGGGTGTTAACTCCCCAAAGTTTAGAATCATTACATCAAATCAGAATTTCTTACCACTTATGGGTTCTCTTAGGATCTGGCTCTGTTGTATGATAAAAATAGCAAATAATATTGAGCACTCATTAAGTGGCAGGCCCTATTCTGAGTGCTGTTCATGTTCACTCATTTCCTTCCAAACCTTATAAAGTAGGTAAGCTTCTTACCTGGCAAGTGGAAGAGCCAGAATTCAACTAATTTATTGTTCCTCCTCTCTTGGCCTTCCAGTACACATGCTGGAACAGGGTTTTAAAAAAAATAAGTAAGCATAGCATAACTTGAGTGGGAGGACTTTAGAGTTAAGCAGTCCTAGCCCTTGCCCCAAGCCCACCCAGGTTGTTTTATGAGAAAATGACCACTATATCTGAAGGCATCACTGTCTCTCAGAGAAATCAGCTGCTCCTTACCTCTCCCCAATTAGCTGCTTCCCTGGAACTCAAAGATCTATTCCTCTCAGAAAGGCCCCCCAAACTGTGGGCTGTTGGAGCAATAGCCTCTATTTCCATGCCTTAGAGCAAGCATGTCAAACTCAAAGGCTAACACGGGCCAAATAAAGGAGACATTAGGCCCGCAGGCCACAAGTTTGACATGCTTGCCTTAGAGCTTTGATTCTCAAACTTATGTGTAAACAAGAACCAGAGGCACAAGTTAAAATGAGGAAAAAGATACAGGGATGTGCAGAGAGTCTGATTAAGTGGGTTGAGGATGGAACCCCAAATCATCATTTTTCAGCTAGGCTCTCCCAGTATTTCCAATGCCAGTAGTGTGCTAATTTAATTAGCATTACACATAGTGTTTGAAACACGGTCATCACTGCCATCATTTATTCATTTATTCCATTGGATGGATGGCCAATAGGTTTGAAGTAAATAATTTTGCCAACATTTCTTACCTATTTTTAAAAGGTAAATGACTCTGTGCTGTGTGGTTTAATTTCCTAAATACTGCCACAATTTCACCATCTTCAGATCTAGAGAACTTTCTTCCTAGATCTTCAAATACTTCATTTAGGTCATTTATTTTTTAAAAGAAGATATTTATTAGCATTAGTCCATTCTAATGAAGCAAGGTGGTCATGGACAAACTCCCACCCAAAAAGAAAAATCGCACCAAAATCATACTTGTGAATCGAGTCTTTTTCTGTATCCTGTGCAGCGCCCAAACAGTAAAGTTATGGAAAGTCTTACAGATGTTCTAGTCTAAATACCAGATGTGGAAACCAGAACCTAAACAAGTGAAGTGTCTTGCCCAAGAACATACAAATACCGTAGTTAGAAGAGTTGAGAGTGTCTCCTTGATGAGTCTTCTCACTACTGTACCATGAAGCTCTGTATCCTCTACTCCATCTCTCACGTTGAGGGTAATCACTGATGCTGGGGGAGGCAAGCATGCCTCCATCAGGTAAAATCAGTCCATGTTGGCTCCTGAGCACAAATAACTTGATAGTTAACAGCTGGCCCCCCTAAAAGTCAAGAATAAGATAAATCATCTGGGGTGAAAACCCAATCCATAAATGTGTCACCTGCAGGACTGTAAGGTGTTTAAGGCTTTGTCTATATGTAGCTAGAGAGTTTGAGAAATTCAGGTAAAAAAAAAACAATTTCTGAAGGAAAAGGAAGCGTGTTGACCTAGTCCTGCATACCAACCAGATGACTTGGCCAAGATTGTAGATAGTGAACTTGAGACAGGTCTACAGAAAACAGTTCTGTCCTGACTCTGATGTGATGTGTTGTTTAATTCCAACCATACTGCCTCCCAAACATATCTTCCCTGCTATTGATTTACAGTCATGGGTACCAAGGAGGCAGGACTGTACAACTAATCTAAAATTGATTAGAATTCAGTTAAAAGCAAAAATTCCTATTAGAAATCTGGCCTGAAGCATACTTGCAAAAAATGTATACACTAATAGCTGATAGCTCAATAAAAATACATTTCATTTTCAAATAACACTGCCTTTAAAATTATTCAAAGTGTGTGCATACATTTTTGGGATACACACACACACACACACAACTTAGTTTGTGCCAATCACAGTGGAAATCTGATTCATACATGTTTGTATTTAATAGGCCTATTTCTGAATATGATCACAACCCCTCTGAGACTATGGCAGCAGTTATGTCTCAGGTTTTACTTTGAGGAATGGTATCTGAATGGTGTTTGCCTTGTTCAGCCATAAGCAGCATAAGCAGGTATGGGCTTAGCATTCAGGGTAGGGCTTGGCAGTGCCCAGCATATGGTGTGTGATGGGTTCCTCTGTGCACTAAGCAGGGAGAGGAGGTAATTTGGGGAGATTCCATCACGCTTCATTTGGAAAACAGAGTTGTCTCTGGTGGAGCTAAAGTTAATGGTTTGCATTGGCATGTGTTTCTATAACATGACTTTTGAACTGAAAACAGACAAAAGGCCTGATGTAAAACATAGGTAAATAAAATAAAACCAGACTCAAAGAGGCCCCAAATGTGTTTTATGTATGTTTCAAGGTAGTCATTTTGGCTACGGATATTTTAGGGAATCCAGAGAAAGGCATTTGCAAGCAGGAAAGTATTATCAAAAGAATTCTCATGTGGTGTTCACAATAAGCTATTAAAAAATGGCTTGAGGGAGAGGAAACCCCTATAGGCCCAAGTGGATCCTCCATTGCAGGCAAAATGGCTGGTGTGGGTGTTTAGAGGACCCAGGAACCTTTGATTTTATTCCTCATGCCCTTCTGGCACTGTGACACCCAGGAAGTCCAGTGTGCCATGCACCACGGGCCTAAGCAGGTGTGTGCTGTGGAAGTGCCAGGTCACCTGCCCCTGCAGCATGGGGAGGGAATGCCCCCACCGACAGCCAGCCTAAGGTGCCATCTGTTTGCCACCAGCTGGTGCAGTAGCCTTGTCAGCACAGAATAAACATCTCAGGTGGCCTCACAGCGGCTGAGCTGTAAGCTGCTTTCTCCTGCCTTGGCCTCTGTTCCTTTACTTCCCTTGCTCAGCTGCCTGTCCTTGGAAAAGGAAAGAAATCAGAACAACTTCACCTGAAGCAGCTCTGATAACTCTTCATAGTGAGTGCAGGAGGGCCTGAAGGTTAGTCTTGCTTGGCTTTCACTCACCGGCCTCCGCAATAGTCCTGGTGGGGCTGCTGTGTGGGATCTGAATGCACGAAGCAGCACACACCTTCTTCAGTCTAGTTCCCTGGCAGAGGAGAGAGCATTTTGCGAGAACCTGTTTCAAAGTTCGTCCGTAAAAGGGACCAAGAGAAGAGGAAGAATTTAGTCTCCCCGGAGGGGCGTGTGGCGTGGAGAGACTGGGCTCTGAAATCAAACAGATTTGGCTTAAAAACCCTTGTTCTGTTGACCAACATCCAGTTCAATGGCATTTCCCAAAATATAAATAAGGAATAGCCTCCACTCCAAAGACTAGGAGGGTTGGATGAGAATAAACATGTAACATGCATATAGCACAGAGTATTTGCTTCTTTGCAAAATAGCAAGTGGAACTTGCTTTCTATCACAGGCAGTGGTCCGAGTCAGTGAGATGAGCCCACAGGCCAACCAGTTTCCTTTTAGAGAGAATGTGACAGTGCACTTCCAGCAGCCTCAGAGCAGCCTCAGTGCCCTTCCCACTCTTTGGGAAGCACAAGAATCTACAGGCTGATATGAACTTACTAGTAGATGCTCCATGTGTCGTCCTCATTGGAGATTTACTGAAGAAGGATGGTGGCAACAGAATAGCCACCAAGGAGAGAAAGTAGCTCAGAGATCATACAACTACCTGCATGCTCAGTGCACGCCAGGGATCTCAAGAGGACCAGAGCACATGACATAATACCTTGTGGTCATATCACACCTGCCATGGCTGGCTTTGCAAATCTGAGTTCAACTTGACAGTTAACATCTATAAAACTACTGTGTGTGCAAGGTATTTTGCAAAGGTAGCTGAAAGGACTTTGATATCAGTAAGTAGGAAATCGTATAGAAAAGAAATTGAGTATCTCTAAGCCTAGCATCCTCACTTATAAAGTTTCCTCCACCCATAGAATTATCACTATCAATACAGTGAAATAGAGTTTGCTCCTGTATTCACAAGGTTCTGGGTAAATGCCAGCTATTATTATAATTCATTGTTTCAGTAACTTGCTCTTGAATTTTTGCAAATACCTCCTAACCCAGTGATGGTGAACCTTTTGAGCTCGACGTGTCAGCATTTTGAAAAACCCTAACTTAACTCTGGTACCGTGTCACATATAGAAATTTTTTGATATTTGCAACCATAGTAAAACAAAGACTTATATTTTTGATATTTTATATATTTAAATGCCATTTAACAAAAAAAAATCAACCAAAAAAAGGAGTTCAAGTGTCACTTCTGACACGCGTGTCATAGGTTCGCCATCACTGTCCTAACACCTTAACTTTCTCATCTATAAACTAGAGCTGACTATACAGCATCTTTTAGTAATACCTCGAGCAGCCGTTTTTAAACTTTAGTGACCTAGAACCTGGGCCATGACCATGCTGCCCTGTAAGTTCAGTATCACAAAGAGCTGTGGCATCTGTGCTAAAGAACTTGACCAAGCTCACCTGTAACAGCCAGCACTGCATCCCTGAGTCCTGAATCCTGGATCCTGTTCTGACCACACCACTGGGCCTCCAGAGAAGATCACAGCCCTATTGTCACTGGGTTTCCTTGGGGGGTTGATTTCAGAGTACACAGCTCAAGCTTCCAGCACTCCACAGACACCTTAAAAAGGCTAAGTGTCATTGCCTCTTTGTTCTTCCTTTACAGACACCTTTGCAAGCAAAGTGGCAGCTACCCAGGACCAGTACGCAGACGCATCCATTGGCAACGTCACTGGCAGCAACGCGGTGAATGTCTTCCTGGGAATCGGAGTGGCCTGGTCCATCGCAGCCATCTACCACGCGGCCAACGGGCACAGTTCAAAGTGTCCCCCGGCACGCTAGCTTTCTCTGTCACTCTCTTCACCATTTTTGCTTTCATCAATGTGGGGGTGCTGCTGTATCGGCGGAGGCCAGAAATCGGAGGTGAGCTGGGTGGGCCCCGGACTGCCAAGCTCCTCACATCATCCCTCTTTGTGCTCCTGTGGCTCTTGTACATTTTCTTCTCCTCCCTGGAGGCCTACTGCCACATAAAAGGCTTCTGAAGGAACAATCAGATGTAGTAAATTTATATATATATATACATATATACATAAACAATACGTACAATGAACAGAGGAAACTGACACTTGTCATGTTCTCTTACCTGCTGATGGAATCCAGCTTCAAGAGCGTACTTACTAGGGCTGAAGTGAGAAACCATCACCTCCCATTCCCAGGGGCATCGTCGCATGGAACAAGGCGTGGAGGCAGGGCCACCTGGGCAGCTCGGCCTAGGCGGGCTGTGTCCTCTCCAGGTTCCTAAGTCCTTAAGTCTTTGATTTGTTTTCTGTTTTGCCTTCTTTTCAGTGGGGGGTTGGGAGGTGGCTGATGTCTGCCTTTTATTTTGTTTTAGTTTTGTTTTGTTTTGTTGGGAAGATCGGGGTTCTTGCTTCTCTTGTGGGAGGTGATGACCAATCTAAATGCAAATGGATTTTTGGTAAAAATTTAAGTCATGAGGATTACTTTCCCTTCCCCCAAACACTTTAAAAGTTATTTTGGATTAAGAAGGGATACGGGCACGGAAGAAGAAAGCAGCCTGTCTTCACGTTACTAAATCCCAGCTTAGCTCTGGACCGTGAGCAGAGGTGAAGCTGCCTCTGAGAAGAAGCGTGGGAGCTGGGATGGAGCCAGGAAAAAGTGATGGTTCCCGATGCCGTCTGATATTTAAAGATATGCTGCCTGGCACTCCTGATCAACAGGTACAGGAAGAATAATGTGCCTAGATTCCCAGAAACACGCAAAATCCTTTACTGCTTCTCTCTTTAGCTCTGGATTGTAATTGGCAAGGCCCTTTTCTGGTGTTTCAGCCCAGCTATCTCCCCGGGTCCCCCATCCCCTCCTCCTGCAAACAGGAAGAACAACTCCATTCAAAACTCACATCATCCTTTTCCATTTGCATCAATCTGTGTCCCAGTCCCATGCTGCTGTTGCCTGGGATGGATCATCTGTTGGTTTTCTTTTCAAAAGCATCCATGGCTTGCACAATCCTGTTCCAGTCACGACTGAACATTTGCTCCTCCTTCATGTGCCTGTTTGGGAATGTTGTTGTGATACCTGTTACACAGTGCATGGACGAAAAACAAATAAAACAAAGCGTTATCTGTATATAGTAGAGCATAGCATACACTGTTCTCCCATTCAGCAACGTTAACCGGACATTGAAGACATAAGTGAGTTTTCTTTTCACCTGTAACTTTTGTGTTGTTATTGAGTTTATGACTAGGGATACAAGGAGAAAATGGCTTATTGTTCATGGAGCTGCACATTCATTTTGAAGAAGCAATAACTGTCACGTGGGACGTTAAAGCAATGGAGAGGACAGCAGGCAAACCACAAAGTATCTTCATGGAATAGTAGCCATGTGGAGCACACCAGAGGCCTCTAAAAAACCGCCTGTTGATTCAGGAAGGCCAAGGAGAAAGGTGTGGAGAAGTGGATGCAGGAGGCGTGCCTGGGCTTTGAGAGCCTCCGTTTTTCCAGCGCCCTGTCCCTGAAGTATTTATTTCACATCTGCTCTGTCTGGCACAGATGGTAGATAGTGCTGGTTTGTTCGTTTTATTTTTTTATAAAGGCTACTTTGAGCCCTGTTTCTTTCACCATCCAGACCCCTCTGATTGTACCTGCATTTTTTGAGTAGGAAAGAGGTCAGGCTGACCAATGAATGGGTCTTTACAAGTGAGTCTTCTCTACTTACGACTGAGGGGCAAGCAGTTAAAGGAGAAGACGAGTGCCTCCCAGCAGGGCTGCACTGGGAGGTTTTTAATCCCTGGAAAGGGAATGGCTCTTTCTATTTTAAAATACCAAAGAGCGTGGTGGATAAACCCACATTCCAAAGTAGTGAGTCCACTAATGAGGAAAAATGGAATGATGTTGGCCCCCTCTTAGAGAGTTCTCTGTCTATAAAGATTCTCAGAATGGAGACACCCCTAGCCCTCTGTATTAATTCCAAGATACTTAAGAAATAAAAAGTGTTGAGCGCTATTTTCTCTTTTTCCACTCAGTGATCATGATCATTCATCATTTAAATAAAGATTTGGCGGCTGAATTAATAATTAAATGCTGGGTACCCACTCAATATGCCAGGAACTATGCTGCCACCTGGGGACTAAAGTGTGAACAAAACAGCCCAAATCCTTGCCCTCAGCGGGCTCACAGTTAATGTGATTGCTCTTTCCATGAGTAAAAGTCAACCCAGCCACATAGAAACAGATTTATCCTACAAGGAAAAACACAATTAGGAAACTTTTAAAATAACACATTGAAACTGTGCAAATACAATTATTCAAATACTTAAGTGTTGTTGTTGTTTTTTTAATTAAGAGAGTATAAAGCAGGGGTCCTCAAACTACGGCCCGCGGGCCACATGCAAATACAAATATTGTATTTGTTCCCGTTTTGTTTTTTTACTTCAAAGTAAGATATGTGCAGTGTGCATAGGAATTTGTTCATAGTTTTTTTTTTTAAACTATAGTCCGGCCCTCCAACGGTCTGAGGGACAGTGAACTGGCCCCCTGTTTAAAAAGTTTGAGGACCCCTGGATAAAGCATAGATTAGGAAAAATATCCTAGATGTCCTTGGCCAATCTTGCAGATAGGACATCTCATCTTAAACCAAGAAAGGCAATCATGCTGGTATTCCACGTCACTGCGAAGGCCCAATTAATCCCAGTTTGTGTCTTGGTTTGATAACAATACTTTTCTATGCTCTGTACCCCTACAATTCTTATCTTTTGGAGACTCACCCCAACCTGCCATGGCCTAGCACACTGGTGGCCTAACTCCTTCGGGGGCACATGTTAATTCCCTGCCCCCCCTTTTTTTAAGATTTACTAAATGGAAAACTAGCCTAGAAACACCAGGTAAATGTTATCAGGGGACATGAGTTGTTTAAACATTAGAAAGATTTTGCACTCATTTTTAGCCATATTTGGAATGTCAATAGGCCCATAGCAAATTGTTACAGAGGACTTTTGAGAAATTCTTGCCATTGGTCAATTTCAATTTCAAAGCTTTTGGGTTTGTTTGCTTTTTAAAATTTTATGTTATAGGGATATGATTCTGGTTGTTCAGGGTTTATTATTAATTATAGTTGTGTAAAATTATTTTATTTTGTTTGATTATTTTATTTTGTGTGTATTGTGCACAGCTTTAGGAGAAACGCACTCATTGTGCTGCTCCTTATACATGGTACACGTTATTGACACAGAGAAATAAAGTTTCTAATTGTTTCTGACTTAATCACTAGTTATACAGCATATTCTGTATGGAATGTTTTCCTTCTTCTCATTGTCATCTACTTCATATTTTGTTTTCATGTTTTAAAGAAATAAAAACCCAAAAGGTATTATTGTGCAAGTGGTATCCTCATCCAAACGAAAGAAAATAGATATACTAGTATTCAACTCTTGCAAATGTCAACTCTTTGGTTATTCAGTGTTTCCTTTTTAGCCTCCCAAGAGAGCACAGTATCAGAATATTGTCTGATAGTGTTGAGATAAACGTTGGACAATTTGCCATTTCACTAATTGTTTTCTTACATTATTTAGTACCACTTTGTCTACATCTGTTTGGCATCTGAGAACATAAGCCCCCAAACAGTTACACATCAGATCATTTTTTAGCATATGGAGTATTCAAATCTATCCATCCCGATAAAATTGATCATCAGAAGTAACTAGTTGCTTCCCTAATTGTTGTAGTAATCACTTCCCTGGGTCAAGGCATTCTAGCTATTGGTAAAAATCTACTTTAATTGATAAAGGAGTAGAGCAGCGGTTCTCAACCTGTGGGTCGCGACCCCTTTGGCGGTCGAACGACCCTTTCACAGGGGTTGCCTAAGACCATCCTGCATATCAGATATTTATATTACAATTCATAACAGTAACAACATTACAGTTATGAAGTAGCAACGAAAATAATTTTATGGTTGGGTCACAACATGAGGAACTGTATTTAAAGGGCCAGAAGGTTGAGAACCACTGGAGTAGAGTATGTAGAAGAGACTTGCTTAAAATCATGCTCATCTTACAGAAAAAGAAAGATGTTGTTATGAGTGGATTCATTGGCTTTCATTCTCATCTACCTACAAATTTGGGGTAATGGATTGCATTTCTGCTCTCTTTAAGCATTATGTCCTCATCAGTTCTAGCCACATTCACTGCCTTCCACCCACCAGATTTCAAGTGTTGAGTGGTCCTGATGGTATTTCACCAACAAGAATAACACAAGAATGGGAAACAATTGTTAGATATTTCATTTTTGACACTTAATTAGGCCATCATTAATCTCCTCCCAAAGCAGAAAACGTGTTATCTATAGGCGGAGCAACCACTGAGAGGTGGGTTTCCTAAGCAACAGTGTGTCTGCTTCCCAGCCAACAAGCCATGGTGAGTATCTAGCTTTCTGTGACTTTTTCCCTGCCTGCCACCATGTCAGAAAAGGTGCACTCAGAGGCTCTCCCAATTTTCAGTTTTGTCAAAAATCCTCTGATTTAATAATCCCTTCATATGGAACATTTAAGTCAGTGGTCATTGCATAAATTATTTTTTTATTTACTTATTTTTTAGGAAAAATCATTATTTCAAACAGCAACATGACTGTTTAGTTAAATCTATGACCGATGTCTTTGCAGGAAGGCTTGATTGCCCAGAATCGCCTGGTCTATGTGTTTGTAATCATTGCTGTGCTTCACAGATGCTCGACCTGATCACGTTCTTTAGAATCATGCAGTCTTGGCCTTTTTCAAAAATCCAGAGACATGTCCCCTGGGGAATATGCAGTCGTAATCTTTCTTTTCCCTGCTTCCGACCTTTGTAATTTTTCTATAGCTACTTGTATTATATTCATTATCCTTAGTAATGCTCACTCTTACCTCTCAGCAACGGGGGAGGGTTCATAGACATGTTTTTCTGAAAGTGAATTTGTCATAGGACAAATTAAATATGGTGACATTCCATCTAGAAAACTGTCTTTTATAGAAATGCCATGCTATACTCTAGTGACTGAGTATACCCTACAGCTACACACTACAACAGATTGAT